GTCCTGAGACATTGCAGCTGATAGGAGTCAACAGAACAGGGGGATGTTAGATGCCCTGACACCCCTCTAGAAAAACGTGTTAAATGAGTGAAGGAAAATATGAGTGAGCACCAAGCAACAACCCTAGGTTCTCCCCTGAGAACCAGACCAAAAATTTTATGTGCAACCCTGTTTATAGATGTACTTTTTAAAAAAGCCCRTCTAGGGACAAGTGCTGCGAATTAGCTACCACTATTGCACCATGACGCAAGCATGGGACTGCTGTCTCGTTCAGTTTGTCTATGTTGATGTGTCTCTGTCCCCATCAAATAAACTTAAATGAAATGAATGAAAGAGGATTTTAAACATCTCTTCTATCATTTTAGTGTTTTCAACTGAGGAGCTTTGATATATTTAGTTAAAAATATAGCACAGGAAGTTCTCTGCACAAAAAAAACTTAATTCTGAAGGTGTGGCAGCTTTTATTTTGCTGTTGCGAAGAGCCACGATCAATTACATGTAGRGGAAACCCTGGTGTTATGTTAGAGCATCGTATTTAAGTTGAGCAAAGAGCTGAGGAGCCCAAAATGTCAGATTCTGATACTTTTTTCAGAGAATCAAAATGAGAACACAAAAACCTCGCTTTTACTTATGGCTTCACCCAATGATAAGTAAATATTATAAGTAAAAGAAATTCTCTGAATTATACCCCCCACCCCCCTTAAACAGCTTCCTGGCTTTATCTTTCATGAGCAGTACCCAAAATATGGATTAATTTCTCCAACAAATCATTAAAACTTTTGGAAAGTTGGTCTGAATCCAATTYTTTGCACATTCTAATGTGATTTCCCGGGATTCTCTAGTGGGCAAAGTTTCAAACATATGGAGCTTTTATACTCAAAATCATGTTAGTTGTTGGTGCTGCTCAGAAAATTGCTTCAAAACATTCTTTAGGATTATATTTAGGATATTTCATTCAAATAATCCATAGATAAAATCATCATGTTTTGACAAAATGCAGTTATTGCAACATTTTCATCCAATGCAATATAGCTCCTTGGTTCGATGTTACAGGTCACAAATAATAAGTAAGCTTGTTCCAGAGCCACTTTTATCCAAAGGTTCCCTAACATTAAAGCTTAATCTGGGAGAGGAGATACATTTAGTTCAGCTTGTTTGTCAGTAACAGCAGCGTGGCTAAATGAGGGAAGTCAAACTAATCTGCAAGCTGCTTCTCATGTGTGAAGAGGGCAACCAGCATGTCACTGGCTAAATGTTCAACATCTTGGGTTTGCCTCCACAGCTGCAGTCAAACGGATTCTCAGGCTTGTTTCAAGACATCAAAGAAACACCTCTTATTCCGTTGAGGGTAAAAAACCATAAMAAATATCATGTGTGAATGTGTCTGCTTTTGTTATTGTCTTATTTTAATCGTTATGCACTATTAATCTCAGCCTATATTAAATAAAACTAAAACATAAAAAAACAACCATAATCTGAGCAGACTTACTTGACCAAATCTATCCTGTTGTTGATGGCGGCCCAGTGGAGGAGTGTTACATTTTCTTTGTCTGGCTGCCGAACGTCGAAGCCCGCCTCCACCAACTCCCTGCAGCGCTCGAAGATACCGTACCTGCAGCAGAAACAGTTTTAGTCTCCTAGTAAACAAAGCCTGGGTTAAAACATGTAAATTAAAAAGTGACTGTCCGGTACCGCCTTTGGTACTTTGCCTTCGAGTTTTGRTGTAGTCCATTATTATTGTTGTGTTGCAAARCRGCGGCTATCRGTTAATCRAATGGAACAAATTTTAATCTAATAAACCATTATTCAACTATTAATCATGAGTTAATTAATTGTTTGCATCCCTACTTTCTGGTCATCAAAGACAACATCATGTCTGGCACAAAACTAACATCTTTYATGCAGAGAACATCATCCCTACAGTGAAGCACAGTGGTGGCAGCATCATGCTGTGAGGTTGTTATTCAACCAGCAGGCACTGGAAAATTGGTTCAAGTTAAAGAGAAAATGGATGATGAAAAATAGAGAATTTCTTGAGAGAAACCTTTTGCAGCATGAGAGAAAAGCTTCAGATATTCTTATATAGGATGCATGGGATGTTCAGCAGCTGAAAAAAAATGTCCTTAAAGAATTGCTGCTAGAAAAAAAAATTCTCCCCTCCCTTACAGAGATTACAAGCAGTCGCATTCTCCCCGGAGCCAACATCACCAGTCGTATGTTAAACCTGTTGGTGCTACTGTTTTATTAAATACAGAGCAAGAATCAGTTTCTTCATAGAAATGCTCTTCTTACATTTGCTGCCAACTGTAAATATGTTGTCAAAAACAACACAAATTGTAACAATCTGCAGCATGTTGACACAAACTGTATAAAATTAAAACCTGCTCAATTGATGATGATACATTCATCGTCAAGTAAACATGATTTTGCTAAGTTTAAGTAGCAACACAGGCACGTCACTCACTGTGTGGCTTTGACAATGTCCCAGGTGCTGTAATCATCCACGTGGTTTTTACGGCTCACATTCTCGCTGTAGCCATGGTTGTAGTGACTCTGGGGTTTAATTTCCTAAGAGAAAGAGAAGAAATAAACACAAATTAGTTAAGGAACTTCCTTAATGCCATTATAAGTAGACAAAATATACACTGCTCAAAAAAAATAAAGGGAACACTTAAACAACGCACGCTAAGTCCAAGTAAATCAAACTTTTGTGAAGCACATTCATCTCTGTACAGAACAAAGTACTCAATGCGAATATTTCATTGATTAAGATCGGGAGTTAGCGTGCCCTTTATTTTTTTGAGCAGTGTATATCTGAACAGATCTGTAGTGCCTTTGTCTGTGTATACCTTATATTGTATTTCCTGTGGCCGAAGTAACAGCTCTAAAAATCTAAGTATTCAGTAACAGAATACCAAAAACGTTGAAAACCAGACAGCAGCTATATCAGCATTTCAAACACCAAAACAAATCTAAAGCCCTTGTACCTTGTACAGCAGTACTGTCTTAGTTTTAAACATGCAGTTGATTGTCAGCATTGTTTGGAACAATGACATGTTTGTTACAAAGAAAACTGAACTAGGAATACACAAAATAAAAGTAAAATGCTCCTTTGAAATAATTGGATATGATAGATTGTGTCAAATTCATTTCATTACCTCAGCCATAACGTTGAGTTTAAAAAGAGGATGATGAAATTAATTGAATGAAGAATCTGTCTCTGAAATAGTTATTAAAATCAAGTGTTTATATGAGGGGGGTAAAAATATGTTTACAAGCTGTTAAAATACAGCAGAATGCTGGAAACTGCATCTGCATCGTTCAAATTTTTCAGGGAAGAGGATCCCCAGACCCCCCACTTGCTTTTGACACCCTTGGTCTAATATCAGATTACTTCAGTAAATGAGCAATCATAATAGCGATCTGCAGTGACTTAATCATTCATACTGATGTGGGGACCACACATGACATTTAGCGCCATAGTAATGCCACAGAAACCACATTAGACTTACATTACCTGGAAATGAAAACAACATCTAGTAAATGCCTCCTTTGAACTATCACATACAAGAGCTGGACAATGTTTAAAAAGAATTAAGTCACTTCCGCACTATGGTAACTAAAAAACACCAGTGCTTGGTTGTACGTTAACCGACAACTCACAAAATATACAAAAGAATATAGAATTAAAAATTTGCTAAAATGTTAAGTTAAAATTCTGATCCTTTCATGGGTATCATCAGTACTAATAAGTTTTATTTTAGGCCCCTTTCATAACTCTTAAGGACACCYTTCTTAAAAGTAACAGGCTAAATAACATACTACAATTTAAATGTGCTAACGCAATTTAAACAAGCTAACGCTAAACAAACTACTGCTACAATTTAAATGGGCTAATGCTACAATTTCTAAAGGTTAAAGCTCTAATTTAACCGATCTGATGCTACAATATACACAGGCTAATGCTACAACGAAAATGGGTTATTGCAAGAATTTAAACAGGCAAATCAAGAAAAAGTTAAAGACAAAACAACTGGACTTTATTTTGAAGGTGATGTTTTGAATCGAGAAAGCCTCCTGGATGGGAACTGAAGCGTCTTCAACTTCAGAAATGTAGTCTAGTTGTTCTGTTTTCTACGTTTTCTTGATTGATCATGACGCGAATGACTGAGAATCTTCACCGGCTTAAAACAGGCAAGCAAATTAAACAAGTGGCAAGCAAAATATAACGAAAAATGTTTCATCTAAAATAGGGTGAAAGAAAAAAATTTATTTATTTATTTGTTTATTTTATAAAGTTTAATTGTTTAAAACAAAACAACATAAATTTAATATACTATAAAAAAATTACAATTCATAAATAAAATGAAAGGTAGCAGAAGACGAAAAATCTTGTGATTTCTGCTCCTATTAAAAATATTGGGGTTAAAATTGCTACATTTCTTTCAAGTACAAAATTCAGAAGTGTCTGGAAATACAGAGCAAGGATGACATAATGAGGCAACATTTAGTTTGGGGTTGAGGAGGTGACAAGCTTCCTCTGAGCTGTTGGGTAACTTGAGGCGACAGCTCGGGGCCACAGAGACTACCAGCTCGAACGTCTCGCCTCAGAGTTCAGCKCAGGGTTCCCTGCAGAGTCGAAGGGATGAGCAGAATTTCCATCTTTGCTGCTACAGGTGGGCAAGCAAAGGAAGAAGTTGTGAAACAATAAAAGTTTCTGTTTCACTGGGATGAAGTTTCTTCATAGGACTTTGCATGATAATGTATAACTACTTTTACAACTATTGTGTAACTGTAACTCAGCAGGTGTTGCAATGAACAGCCACATGCAGTAGTAACAGGTACTCTTTTCTTCTAGAAAATAATTACAAATTGTGACCAATGGGGAAACTATATTTAACTATAATGTAAGAAACTTTATTTGCTAGAATGACCTAACTATGACCAATAAATCTTAGTTTAATTACTTTTATGACAAACCTGTTTGTGCCGATGCCTACTGTTAAAACAGAAAAGATAAATGGTTCTGTGTTTCTTTGAGTCACATAAACCAAAATTCCAGTTCAGTACTTTAAAATATGTAATTTATGACTGATTTTGTGCATAATGTACTGCAAATTACGAAATTGAAACCATTATTCCTTGAAGGGACGCCTATTACCCAATACTTTGAATGCTTGTTTCAAAGACTTTGTGTAATCCATTAGAACTTGGGGTATGTGTTGGGAATTATTTTTAAAATACTACCACACCACGTTTTAGCTGTAAAAGAAATACTAATTTGAAACCATGTTTGTGTTTTCGAAGGTTTATTAGCTGTGGTGGCCATCTTGAATCTGGTTGATTCAAAAAGCTAGCGAGTTGTAGATGCAATGATTACTTGACAGSTTCATAAAAATCCATCCAGTGGTTCATGAGATTCTTTGCTAACAGGCAGAGAGATAAACACACAGACACAAGTATGATGTCCTGCCTGTTACAACACCCGGCCGTAAATAACTATCATAAAACAAATGTTAACTTTTTCATTTTCAGATAACTTTAACTGAATGTGTAARTGACTCACAATTCTGTGACATTTTTACAACAAACATGACCTACTTACAAATACAGATCACTTCTAACAAGTCACATGTCTAAACTGTAGGTGTTACACTAATCAACGGCTACATAAAGTAGTTCATTTCTATTTTCTTCCCAGGGAAATCTCAGATGAATCCAACTGATTTGAGCTATTCCCATTTACTGTTCAGTTGAAAACATTGTTGTGCTTGTCAGCATGACTTATGGCAATCCGGCAGGTTGTACAAAAAAGTAACTGAGATTTGAGTGATATTCCTAGATGATTGCCTCAATATTTCAGCACATTACAGTAACACAAAACTAAAGACCTACAATTAAAGCCCTAATAATCCATGAAATAATGCATATCACCCACTGTCTTTTATTGCCGAGTGTTAAAACTAAAACATTAACAAATGAGAAGTGACAGACGACAGGCCCTGGAGCAGTGTGGTTATCCTGACTGGGCTTTCCTGAAAGCAGACAGGAAACACAGACAGGATTCCATGCAACCTTCAGGTGAAAATGAAGACCCCAAACCCAGACYCAAACCAGTGGTTATTCCGTATGTTGCGGGTGTTTCGGAGAAACTGAGACGYTTATTTTCTAAACATGATGTCCCAGTAGCTTTCAAACCCCAAAACACATTACGGCAAAGGCTGGTTCACCCCAAAGATCCGGTGCCCCGGCACAAACAGAGCAATGTTGTATATGCTGTGAAGTGCCAGGAGGACTGCGACCAGTTATACATCGGGGAAACAAAGCAGCCACTGTTCAAAAGAATGTCCCAACACAGACGAGCTACGTCTAATAGCCAGAACTCTGCAGTTTTCACTCATTTACAGGCCAGCGGTCACTCTTTCAGAGATGAGGATGTTCTTATTCTTGATAGAGAGGAATGTTGGTTTGAGAGAGGAGTAAAAGAAGCCATTTTTGTGAAGAAAGACCGTCCATCATTAAACAGAGGTGGAGGCCTCCGTTTTCAGTTGTCCCCCTCCTACAGCGCTGCCATTGGCAGTGTCACTCCACCCCCTGTTAACAATAGGTGGTAATTAGGTGTGAACGATGGCCATGTGATGTGAGTATCAGTCACCTGGAGGCAGGACTCAAAAGCCTGAATTTTGCCTGAAACTCAGACTGAAGAAGTCTCTTGGAGGAGAGACGAAACGTTTCATTAAAGAAGAACCCGTCCAGAGGACCTATACAATTTTTTTCCTTTTGAGAAGTGACAGAGTTATATCCATTTTAGACAAACCTAGAATCTATTCATAATCTCTGTCTCAATATTTGTGTAAAGTTATTGGATATGGGAGGGTGCCCCCCTCAATTAAAATGCTTTTCATTGGCTGTATAACTCATTTTGTGAGGATTAACAACTACCAACTACTGCAAGAAATTTCYTCTACATACTGCTCTTCATTAAAATATTAAAAGATTACATATAAAGGATTCTTGCCAGGACAAACTATTTTTTGACAACTAACAAACTGCAAATTTAACAACATGATTATTATTTTAAATATTTTTTTAAGTGTTCATACACAAATTTCATATTATTTTCTGCCCTAAAACTAAAGTTACTACTGGTAGTTGCTCCTTGGTGATAGGGGTGCCCCTCAAAATCTGATTCCCATAAGAATCACTATTTTGATACACAACGATTTAGAATTGACATTAAGGATCTCAAACTTGATTTTATAAAAGTAAAAACAATGAAACAAATCTTCTGACTGTTGGCCTCCATTKTGTAACAACCAGAATTAAGACCATAAGGCACTTTCCTTAGAATTTAAAAAGGCAACATGTTTAATTGTACTATTTTTCATAATGAAGGCACTTTAACTTTTGTTACTTAAGCAACATGTTATTTTGCTTTAACAGTTACAAGAATTCCATCCAAGCATGAAGTAACATTTAAAACTTAATAAATTTCACTTAATAAATGTGAAAAAGTCTCCATTTGTCATTCTGTCTTGCAAAGCAGACTGGAGGAGAAATGAGAATAT